TATTTTAATATATTTATTTCCAAGAAAACAGGAAACAAGTCTAGCAACGTATCGCAAATTTCGGCCATCTTCAACGACAGCTGCAGCTTTTGCAGAATCTTTTTTATATCTGTCATAAATCATAATAAAGGTTGACCTACTGAACAAAGGTTTTTATAAAAAACAATAGGAAATAGTGTTGCATTAACTATGCAGTAGGTCTTGAAATCAATTCTAGCGGGTCTTCTGTACTATACCATCAGATGGTAACTTGAAAAACGCACCATAAAAAATTTTAATAGTAATTTTTTAATTTCCAAGTATTGGTTTCTCTAATTATTTAAGAGATAGTCTATTTAGAATTGTGTAGAGAAAAAAATTACGAATCCATGCATACTATAGCTTTTATTTTATTTAATTTTAAAACCAAAAAAATTGGATAACTGTAAACTGGAACTTGTATGAGATCAAACAAAGCTCTTGCATTTCTCAGTCAGTCTTTACTTTTTACGGAGTCCTACACAGCGCATGCGTTGGGTGTTATGCTGATTTTATCTATTTACGTTGCTCGTTTACGAAAACTAGTTGGTTCAGAAACATTAACTTAAGCGAATGTTACGAGCAATAATTTGTAAGGGTTTTTAATGTAGGCATTATGAAATGATGCGTTGTGTACATTTCAGATTCAGGTACGCCGGTGTAATTAGCCTCCAATACTATTTATTATATTCATCAATATACCTAAGTGTAGTTGGATTCTCTCAGGTATTCAAACTTCTCTTTCCAAATTTCCGGTTTCATATTGGACCTCCATCTTAAACTCGATGACTTTATCCTCTATTGTTTTAACATTCCTAAGTGAATAAGTAAATTCTTTTGGAATATACCTATTCAAACAAACGGATATATATATATTGGTAGACATAATCATAATCTTTATTGATCCAATATATCCATTTTTGAATGTAGGACAAGTCAGACATCACGTTACAATAAAACTGCTAAAAACTGCATCGTAAGCTTAGGGCACATATACATTAAATAAATAGATAAAAGATAAAGATAAAATCACATAAAAACATTGGAACATATATAGTTTTAAAATTACAAACATACTACTACATAAAATATATAAAAATTAATAACAAGCTATTCGAAATAGAATTTTTTTGTTTATTGATCAATTAAATATTCTTGTGTAGTGTAAAATGCTTTTGATGTAAGAAGTTTTTTGACTGTAGTTTTAAATTGTTTCAGTGGTAGCTGTTTAGTTGCATTGTCCAGTTTGTTATAAAACTTTATTCCACAATAGAGTGTCGTGCTTTCATATAACTACTTTTTTTATGACGAGGTACAGGTAACTGGTTTCTCCTTGTATTATACCCGTTAATCTCTTTTGGATTAACAGTGTTGTTTAAGATATATTTTTTGACTAGACATAAAATTTTATATATGAAAATACAAGGAACAGTTAAAATTTTATGCTTAATGAAAATAGGCTTACACGTAGCTCTAAATGAAAGGTTGAATATTAAGCGAATTATTCTTTTTTGTCTTATTAATAATTGTTTTAAGTTTTGAGTTCTGCCCCATATGGCAATATTGTATGTTAAATTTGAGTACACTAAACCATAATACGTGTTTAGTAGCCCTTTAACAGACAAAAGATTTTTTAATTGATATAGTGCAAAGTATGATTTAGCTAATTTCTTTCGAACCATATCAGTGTGTGCAGCCCATTTTAACTCATTATCAATCTCAGTCCCTAAGAACCTTACCGTTTGGCTAAGTACTATTTTTGTATTGCTTATGCTTAGAGATGCGTCATCAAATACTTTCTTTTTAGAAAGACTAATAATTTCAGTTTTGTCCACATTCAAGATTAGATTGTTTTTATTACACCACCACATCATATCTTCAAAAACTGACTCAATTTTGGACCTAAGATCTTCTTCACATCTAGACGCCAGAACAATAGAAATATCATCACAGTACATTATAACATGTCCATTCTTAATGTATTTTGGAAGATCATTCACGTAGAGCAAGAAAAGCAGTGGTCCCAACACAGAACCCTGTGGTACACCCATTTCCAAGTTAAAGTATCTGGATGTAGCACTATTGTAAGTTACAACAATTTTTCGGTCCCTAATGTACGACTCAAACCACTTCAGCGCGACGCCTCGTATCCCAAAGTTTTCAAGCTTTTGAAGCTATAGGTACATATACAGTGAGTTTTTTTAAATGCGAACATAGTTTGCATGCAATGTAATGTAATTTCCCTATGTTCGATTTAAAAAAAAAAAAACATCAATCTACGAGATGTGCGCGGTTCACATTCCCAAATCGCGCAACTTGTGTAACTATGAACAGCAACTCTATATTCTTTATGATGAAGAGCACTCGGTAAGATTTTTATAAAGAAGCCATGTGAGGCCATAGCAACTTTAGGATACATTTTTCTTAAACTTACGATAACTTGACCTGCCAGGCCACGCACTGACACCACAACTCATTGGAAACCAACCTTCAATTATTTGTAGGTCATGTGCACCTGGTATTCTACTAATTTGATCTATTCAATACATAAATGAATAAAATAAGAAAATAAATAACGAAAACGATTACAATAAATGTTCGAAGTGTCCTCCTTGACATTCTAAGCAATAACCTAACCGATTTCGTAATTAACTTGGACTGCGGTATTTTTAAAAATGTGACAGCTGTCAATTGTATCTACTACTCATTTGAACTACTCAATAGATTTCTGGTTTTTTTTAATCGAACATAGGGAAAGTACATTGCATGCAAACTCCTATGTTCGCATTTAAAAAAACTCACTGTATGTATATCCTAGTGTATATCTGCAATATTGGTAATATTTAATTTTGTAGCAATATAATAATCGCTGGTATCTACCTGTTTACCTGTTCCATATTCAAATCAAATGACGTAAAAAATTTTAGATTGTGTGATCTTTGCTATATATATACAGGGTGACAATTTGAAAACTTACCACCCCCCATATCTTAGTAAATAAACGAGATATTTAAAAAAATCAAAATCCGTTTTGGTAATTCGGAGGGGGAATCACAATGACATAGTTGGCGACGCACCCCCTCACACCCCCTGCGCCCCAGCCACCCCAACTTTTAAATCTTAAATAGTGACCCCCCATGTGTGATACGTCGTTGGAAAGCTCTGAAAAAATGCTTTCCAACCATACCAAATAGCATTACATTTAGGTTAGTAATTATCGTGCAAATCAAAAAATAAACATGGAAAATCGTATTTAACTTGGACTTCCAAAGCCGACTCGACAGCAACTCATTTTTGATCGCTAGTTATAATCTATTCTCAAACTCTTGTCGAACCTTTCCTATGTTGGTTTTGCAATATTTCGACATTCTTGAATTATTCTCTCTCTTAGTTCGTCTAATGTTCGCCGGTTGCGTTTTAAATACGACAGATTTCAAATGTATCATATTAGTTTATTTTTTGATTTGCACGATAATTACTAACCTAAATGTAATGCTATTTGGTATGGTTGGAAAGCATTTTTTCAGAGCTTTCCAACGACATATCACACATGGGGGTCACTATTTAAGATTTAAAAGTTGGGGTGGCTGGGGCGCAGGGGGTTGGAGGGGGTGCGTCGCCAACTATGTCATTGTGATTCCCCTTCCGAATTACCGAAACGGATTTTGATTTTTTTAAATATCTCGTTTATTTACTAAGATATGGGGGGTGGTAAGTTTTCAAATTGTCACCTTGTATATATATATATATATATATAGTGTATTCAAAAAACTATTGATAGAAATGTACAGGCAACAAAAACTTAATACGAGAATGAACAGTAAATTCTAAATTACTGACAATAACAGACTAGGACTCGGTAGAGCACGAGAACTCGGGAGGATGGTTAAGGAAAAAATCCTTGCGCCCTGGCAATCATGATCATAAGATCACACTTCGAAAGAACGTGATTTGACAATCCAAACGCGTTTAGATCACCAAAAGAAAACTCCTTTTGTGTTCTCTGTAATTGGGCTTATCCTGTTGAGAATTAAATACAAATATAGGAGCTGTCAAACTGACATTTTAATAGGTTCGTATGAGTGGGGTAAGTCTCTCTTTAGCAGTAAGAGTGGTTAAAGTGATCTCTTTAAACGCAAGGGTAGATGTGAAACAAATGATTGTGCATTCTGATAACATCTATGTCATTCTTATTCAAAATGAGATGCGGAACACAGAATAAAATGAAGTTCAGAACAGATGGCAATATACTGTTTCCATGGAAACGACGGAAAAATCCAAGCATGGCGTAAAAATTTGTCGTCTTAAATTAAGAATTTTGGGAAGTTCAAAATGACATGTATCAACCATGGATAAAATATTGTACCCGCTCGTGTGGGCGGAATAGCCATTTGGCAACATCCTTGTCTCCTGGACTATCTGTACAAGGTGTTTCAAATTTGAGGCTGACAATTGGGATCTTTGAAACCCAAACTTACAAGGGAACTAAAGTTACATATTTTAACATTTATTTTAATGCTAACTTTCGGAGAAAACCGAAATTCGCGCATTGCTCTTATTTACTTTATTTGAAGAAATTTTTGAAAATAAATGACTCAAAGAAAATCTAAAAGATGTCCCATATATTCACGCTTATTGTGCCTTGTTAAGGAAGTGACATTGATGTTCGGTAAAATGTGAATCGACCTTAATAGCAGCGTATCACTTCAGCTTGAATTTTGAAACGTTCACATATGCCAGATAGTTCGTTCGTATGTATACAGGTAGGCCTGCAGTTGTCAGCGTTGATGTATGAGTAATGGTAAACAATACAATTTTATTTTCTCAACCACTTACAGTTTACCTGCTAAACAGTTGACCAATGACTTTATAGTTCGTCAGTCACACTAATATCCAGAAATAAAATTCCTTGCTCTAAAAGCGGAATAACCACAAATGAATAAACAAACTATAGACATGAGGAGAGTCATCTGTGGAATATGTAAGCTGCAAAAATTTTAATTAAAAAACATAAATATTTATAAAAATAAAATTAACAGTAAAAAATTGCGTTATTCCGTGCTTTAGTGAGTGTTAATATTATTAATATCATTGATTTTGATATTATGCCTTCCTCTTAGGTACTGGCACATTAATACTCATTAGATTGCATAAAGTATTTCTTATTGGTTTCACAGCCTCAACGGATTCTTCCCAGTTTGTAGAAGATAACAGATTCATTGCTTCGTCCAAATTTTCTTCGGGAATAGTACTGCTTTCTCCATAAACAATAAGGGATTCGTATAGACGACCAGATGTAGCTTTTCTTACGTAACTTTGCCGATGGCAGAGTAAGATACTAAGTTGTACCAAAGCAGTACTGCAAACCTTACTCTTGATCTACAAATAATAATATCAGTGATATATTTGCTTCTCAAGCAACTCAAACCTGAATAAACTGACACAATAAATCGATTCCATCAATTAATTTGTAAATGTTTTTACAACCTGCCAGTTCTAATTGAATCAACTTTAAAATTTTTTGAGGAAATTCAGAGTTTGCATCAGTTATAACGTTTGTTATACAGCCGGACCCCATGATTTTACTTAAAAATCTAAACATGGGAATCGATATTCGATCATTTCTCTGATAATCAAAAAATATTTGGTAGATTGCGTCACAATAATGAACAATTTGCGATAAACCTTTCTGGTTTTCCTCTAATTGAAAAAACTCAAATAAGCACGTGCTTGAATTTTTAACCTTAAAAGAAATGTTCACAGCTTAATTAAGAATAAGTTTTGCTTACTAATGTCTCCGTTAAGCCTCCAACACTACATACGAATCCAAGTAGCATGTTGTATGTATATGCAGGTAGTTCAATTAGCTTAACAAATTTTGGGAATGTAATCGCAGCAGAGTTCCAGTTTAAAAGCTCACATTCGTCTTCAGGGAACAGACTCAATAAAGTACTCTTGCTTGGGATGTTTGGAACATCAGGTTTACTAAAAAAAATCCATTGACGGCAAAAGAGTACAATTTGTAATACAAAGACATGTGTATTGCTAAAACAGAAACTTGTTCCAAAGGCTTCTTAATCTATGAAGAAGGTTTTGTTGTACAGTGGTAAATAAAATACTTTCATTACTAGTGACAGAACTCAGTCAGAACGTGAAACAACTCCCGAGTGCTTGAAATGTACTTTGGACACAATCTTTTTCTGCAAGCATCCCAAAACAATTAAGAAATCATACCTTTAACCAGACATTCAAATATTTGTATCATAGCAGCATTTTTCTAGGAAAATACTCAAACGTACGATTTTGAAGGCCAACAATTAAAAATGGACGGTTGATATTGGCTAACATTTTGGAAGATGGGGAGGGTGGCTTTCAAATGACTTGACAAAAGAAATAGTTTTACATAACTTCCTTCCCCCTTAGCGAGATCGGTTATAATTCCTGATCTCAAGAACAGAATGTCATGGGAAAATAAAACATTTAGATGAGGCTTATCCGAAGGTCATTAAGAGTAAATATTTTGAGTATTGGAAGGTCTCGACAAGTGTAAATGAGTACTACAAATGAGTTTTTTCTTTACATAGCATGTGCACAATGTATAACTATGTGTAACAACATTTTTTAAGATAGTTGGATGTCAAGAGCACTATAAAAAATTCCGCTTTATTGAGTTTTCCGCACTAAGGATAAATTTAGCTCCTCATAAAAACAAAACCACTCCATCAAATCACATTAAACTTTAGTATAGCTGCACAAACATTATAGAATTTACTTGCATAGCTCTCTGCGCTGTAATATCAATAAAGCAATGGCATTATTTGAAAAACACTTATTCTGTTTCTTTTTTGTAAAGCAATTTTTAAGTTTTTTATCACTGCATTTTGATTACATGTTATATAGTGAAGGTATCTGTACAACAAAACATATTTGGCCATCCGTTTCTCATGCTAACTTCTTCTAAAAACTACATTTCTACTGAATGAATAAAAGGCCGATTCAGAGTACCGTAACGGTATGAGGTACGAAATAAGAAATAAGCGGTAATGTAGGTCCGTAAGAGGTAAGGGAAGACCGTAAAACAATTGGTTCGTTGCACATGCGTGATTTGATTTTCTCGTTTGCGTCATATGTTGTCAAACTGACGTCCTTGTGGTTACTTACGTTTGAAGTTACGAGGTGAACAATTAAGTAATGAGATTGATTCCATAAAAACCGTATATTTAAAAATTATTCTACAGCTCTGCCATCCCCTTCACTTGGGCAGCTATAAACGATTCCAGCGCGTTTCCCACGCTTCCTAACATTTCTGGAATACTTCGACTGGGATGTCTGCGAGTACCCTCCTCACGCCGGCTTGGATGTCCGTAATCAACTTAAAATGGGTTCCTTTGACCACCGATTATGCTCTAGGGAACACAAAAAAGTCACAGGGTGCCATATATCGCGCGAATAAGGCGGCTGTTGGAACATAGCATTCCTTTAGAGGTCAAATACTGGGATATGCTGAGGGCGGTGTGGCAAGGCCCGTTGTCGTGATAAAGGATCCAGTTGTTTGCGATGTCTGGGCCGCACCCTGTCGCAATCTTTCGAGTACTTGGCGATAGTAGACTTAATTTACGGTTTGTCCCAGTGGAACAAATTCTTTGTAGACGATTCCACGGCTATCAAAAAAGGTAATGATCATCGTTTTTACCTTTGACTTGTTCATGAGAGCTTATTTCGGGCGAGGGGCGTGCGAAGACAACCATTGTGAATTTGGCGTTTGGTTTCCGAATCGTATTGGAAAAACCAGCTCTCATCGCCTATAATAACTCGATCAAGCAGCGTGAGATCGTTTTCCACATGCTCCAAACAGTCTTCTGCGACGGTCATTCAATGCTGCATTTGCTCCTCAGAAAGGTTCTTTGGAACTATCTTCGCGCACAACTTCTTCATTCCAAAATCGTCGGTGAAAATTTGTCTGACTGTTTCACGGTTCATACCCAGTTCGGAGGTCAACATTCGAACGGTTAAACGCCATGTGCATGGATTAGGGCGAGCACTCGCTGTGAATTCGCCTCAGTCCGCACCTCGACTGGTCTTCCGCTCCGCGCCTCGTCTTCTATGCTTTCACGCCCCTACTTAAACTCTTTATGCCATCGAAACACCTGGGCACGACTAAGAGCACTATCACTATGCATTTTTACGATTTTAGTGAACGTTTCCGAAGCTGTTTCGCCCAATCTGGCGCAAAATTGTATCGAGACGCGTTGCTCTCGATTTTGCTGCTCCATTTTAGTGACGAGCACCACCAACACGACCAGCAGGTGAACTAAACAAAAGAGCGATGGTAAGCATATCAAATCAATGGAAAAGGGAAGGATGCCGAGGAAGGGGAAAGGAATTTCAAGGTCGCAATTTCGCTACAAGCGCGGCAATAAAATCAGTCTCATTACTTAATTGTCTAACCTCGTATAGTACTTACCAAAGGTTAGTTTGCTTTTCATAGACGTAGGTAAACGAATATGGATAGTGACGAAATCATAATCATAGCGCTTCTAGTGTTAATACACCTTCAACACAAATGTTTAACGGTCGAATGCCTTCTCATCTTAATAAAAAGATATGAAAACGACAACACTGCGTGCAGCTGTCCAATCCTTTATAAAAATTCTGAATGTCACCATTATAATTTGAATGTTTATTTTTCTTATTTCTTATCGTTACCTCTTACCGCTTACCATTACGGAACTCTGAATCGGCCTTCGATTTTAAAAAATGCCCTTCACACCCAAACAAATGGATGTTTTAGCATTTTTGTTTGCCTTTGTCTAAAAAGTCTATATAAGCTGATGGATTAAAATTATTATCCAACAACCTCAACATATATTCAAATTACTAATATTCTCATTATAGTGCTATTCATACCTATGAATAAAGCTATAGAATATTTTTCCTGCCAGTGCGCGAGTTCTATCAATTTTCTCTACAGCCTGTTGTGCCACGCCTGACATTATCTTCGGAACTAATTCGGACGTTAGCACATCAGGTTTATGTTTAGCGAGTAATAGTGTTAATGTGTGTAAGGCTGACACTGATGCTTCGCGTACCCAAGCACCGATATCGCCACGATTATCCTGTGTATATTCTGAGAGACCACTTAAAAATGTTGTGTAGCACTTGTTTAAATATTCTTCCAAAAATTCTACAAAATTTCAATTCAATGTGGTCCAATTAAATACAACTTTATAATTACCTTTTTGCATACAATCTTCCATTGTAACACAAATAGAAGTGAGCCCTTTAATGGCGTCTCTCCTACTTTCCGCCCATTTTAATGTATCAGGCGTTATATGAGTTGCAGTTACTAAGGCATCTACTATTATTTGTAGATGTGGCAGTAATATGAATGAAGGCATTGCCCCTAAAGCAAGCGCGTGTCCCATTCTTATCACTTGAACACTTGAGGACAAAGAATCTATGTAATTTTTAATAACAACTGATTGATCTTGTTGAGATTTAGCAACATAGTATTCGTTCAAAAATGCAGGAAGTGCATCGACCGCTCCCATTCGTATATTCGTTACATCATAAGTCAAACACTCATTTAACAACTTGAGCCATTCGTCTGAAAAGAAGCTACATATATAACATTAAAATTGAATTAAGCCTTACCTATCACGCAATGCCCATGGAAAGGCATATGAGCCAATGAGCATTTGTTAATAAAATCACAACATGCATGCCTCATTAATTCCCCACCCAACCCTCGAAAATAAAATCGCTCTTGAAAATTTGGAATGAGATTCTGTGCTGATTCTATTAAATCAGGTCCAAGAAGAGTTTCTAGTTTCAAATTCTGTTCTTCGGCTAGTTTAGACAATGCATATATAATTTCACCAATAGCTAACACTGCTCCATGTCGCCTATTTAAATCAATACTTTCGGTTTTTTTGAATAAATTACCTAATACTGTCTGTACCATATAATCATGTGCCTGCCAAAGTAAAGACTATTGCAATAGTTTTTGTGTTTTGCTTATTTACCCTTGGCGTTAAATTATGTAAAGCTTTCGCAGTTAATTCTCTAATTGCAATATCCCAATGTTCTACTTTTCTATCAACCAGATGTTTGATAAGTGGCACAGTATACTCGACAAACTGCGCAATGTAAACACTTATATGCAAATACGCATTATTGCGTATGCTGACTTCAAAGAAATCTGCAGTTGTCAAAATGTCGATGCCATGAGGAAAGGTACCTTGGCGTCCAACATTCTCTTGAAAAGCAGCCGAAGCAGCTCGTCTACAATTGATCTGCAAAGATTAAAAAAATTAACAAGAATCTATCTAGTGCTTGTACATACTTCTCTATCAAAGCATGTAACCACAAGTAAAGCAGCCGCAATGTCTTTAACGAAAGGTCTGAGGACCTCCATTTCGTAAGCTCTGGCAAAGGACCAGCAAACGTAGCATGCTGAATCTCGTATATGAGAGCCAACAGACGAATATCCCCTAGGTTCATCGTAATCTAAAGCTTTTAGTATCACAGGTACAACTTCCGGTAGCCTTTGAGGTAAAATCAACCCTCTTCGCCCTAATAATCAATGTCACCTGTAGTGAAGAAAACCCTAGAGAAAACCCCAAGATGTGTTACCTAGCTCTGCAAGTGCAAGACAAGCACCATGCCATGTACCATCACTTTCCCTAGGATTAAACAGTTCTAATACAGATCCCACTACCTCGTCTGCCAGCTCTTTAGGCAGACGACCTGTAACTCGTCCAATTCCCTTCGCTGCTGACCATCTGTAACCAATACATCAACAATGTTCCTTGATGGAATTTTCTATAAATACCTTACAACACAGTCACTAGAACCTAATCCTTGAAACAATTGATCAACAACCTCTTCTACTTCATCTGGAACGTTAATATTTTCCTCACACTCATCACATGGCAATGAAGTACTAAAAGTTCCAGATCTGTAGTCACCTGCATGTAAATTTGCCATTAAAGATCTGCTTCCGCGTTGATACCTCCAAGTAGCAATTCGAGCAGGTAAAAATATCAAACCTAAAATGTAAATTCATTTAACAATTCAAGCTTTACTCTTTTCAAATGATATAATCATACATGATATATCATACATACACTGTTCAAGGTTCAATAGTTATTGCCTCGGAAGGTAGCAATTGAATTTTGTACTACTAATAAAAAAATAGTATACAGGGTGGTGACTTGCGTAACGCACCATAGGGATTTCAATGTAAAATTCATAACATGCGATTATTGGCTCCCCAAATTATTTTAGAGCAAAAATGTATTAAGGTTTTTTGTAGGAAAAAAATTTTTACGTCAATCAACCGTATTAGTTTTCAATTTTTTGCATAATAAAGACGGAAAATTGGAAAAATAAAACCCGCATCTTTTTCAATAATCAGCGATGCCATGGAATTTTCTAAAACGAAAAGATATCCAGTTGTGAATTAGCAGAAGTTCGAAATGGATTTTATAATCGACTTGGTTACTGTCTTGCAGTTGATGGTGACTTATTCGAACATTTATTGTAAATTGTTATATTAGGAAAGCGTTTTTAGTAATTTGATCTTTCTTTATGTTGAATTTGCTGTTCAAAATATAATACTTTTTGATAGAATTTGATTTGTTTTATAGCAGACATTCCATGGCATGACGGATATTGGCGTAGTTTTTGTATTATGAAATTCCATGGCATCACAGATTATTGAAAAAGATGGGGGTTTTATTTTTCCAATTTTCCGTCTTTATTATGCAAAAAATTGAAAACTAATACGGTTGATTGACGTAAAAAAAATTTTTCTACAAAAAACCTTAATACATTTTTGCTCTAAAATAATTTGGGGAGCCAATAATCGCATGTTATGAATTTTACATTGAAATCCCTATGATGCGTTACGCAAGTCACCACCCTGTATATACCACGGTAGACAAGTCCATTATTGCCTTCGCACCTCTACACCCCTAGGCGCAAGCGCCTCGGGATGTAATCTTGATACTCAGGCAATAATACTGGAATTTCATCACCCTAACATTGCCTATATGGGACAATAACTATTGAACGGGGTACACCTTAGACAAGGAAAGAGAGAGGACAGGTAATACTTTCAATAAAACTGTTACTACTTGTCACCAAGGCACGTCTGCCAGTGTCTTGACATACAAACAGCATTGTTGGGTGATAAAAATTATTCCTTTTATAGGACGAATGCAAATAAAATTTATTAAAACAGTAAATATTAATTACTTTACTAATTGTAATAGTTGAGAATTATATATTTAGAGTTTAATCCTTGGTTTAATGTCACCGGAAAATATGTGAACTACTTTCATAATAATTCAAATTGGTCAATAGAAAGCCTTTAGAACGACGCGGTACAGTCCGTGCTCCGAGTATTCTAAACTGAATAATGGTACTGTTTTGACAGTTTACGCTTCACGTCTTGTGTTCCTGTGTTTGCTTTGTTTTGCGTTTCCCGTCTCCAATTATACAAACTCGTCTTTTTCAAGAGCTTGGATTTATGTCTCGAGGTATGTAATATTATACATAAAGGGTTTTTTGATGTAAAACTATACCTAACCTTATGTTGAATTCTATAGAATTAATTGATGCAAAAATTGTTTCAGAAGCCCCAAGTCATGGGTTTCGAGAAAAGTTGTTCATTTTGAAGCTCGCAATATAATTCAACAAAAAGAACCTTGTCATTGAAGTTTCCTTATGAAACCTAGTTAGCTTCCGTTGAATTTGGCAGGTGGATTCGATTTATATTTAAAAAATGCAACGAATCGGATTAAGCTGAACGATGATCAAACAAACAAGACTGATTTTAATAAAACTGATCAGTGTATTTTAAGAAGAACTGTGCAAGGAGGATTACCATGATGTTCCAATGAATGCAATGCCTAGAGGTGCAGCTCATACCAAGGTTACCATCAAAATTCAATTGTGGTTATGGGTAACGCACTCATATTCACACACCAGAAGTGCATCAAAATTGAAAATTGTTCAAGAAAGTCTGATACCCTTAAATGTATTTTTACGTTTTTCCGAGCGTTTTTCTAAATCTAAGTACAATAGGTACATTTTTTACTCTTGCACGTGTAAAAAAGATTTGCTGTTGCAATATCCCCTTGATGTAAAATGTTATCCAAAACCCTCGGGTTGTCGCGTAGTCACCATTAATTTCGTTTTTCGGTGAGTGCTTGGGCGCTGACTTTAATAAAGAAACTCAGCGCTTAAAATGAACTGCATACGTACGACGGTGATTGTCCATGAGACTCTCAGACAACTACTTATGAATTCATTCGCGTAAATGGCGCGTCAGGCGAGAGAGACTAAGTGTTTGTATTAAATCGCCTGCCGCCACTGGAACACCACTCAAATAACGGTAACTTGCCCAGTTATTAACCCAATTTTTTTAATAAAAAGTTACTTTAAACGATTTCAAATGATAAAAATTATTAACAACATATTTTGCTACATATATGTAAAAGCATCTACTGAATAATAGCGGAAAGCGTAAAAATTATGAAGAAGACAGTTTGCTCTAAAATTTACCAAACGAATCTTTGCCTTTGAAACGAAATTCCTGGCTCCTTTTTGCCACTACGGCTTTTACATTTATAATAATAATACGCTTTTATTCCCCTTAAGTTTGTATAAATAACAAAAGAAATATATATTTTTAAAAAAAACTAACCTCGGGGAAAGGGACTACATTCAGCGCACAAAACACTGTTCTTCCATGTAGCCCCCATACAAAGTATAACTTGACATTTATAAGCTGAACCTCGAGCTGAACAAATAACTAATAAAGTCACAAACACTGTCTATAATTCATAAATTTCACCCTTTAAGATAGAAATAAATGTTGGTGACCTCGTTGGTGACACAAACAACTTTTGGCATCAAAATAATGGCCGTCAACTATTTTATACCACAAAATTCAAACGACAGCGTATATACGCGTTATCAATCCTCTCTCTTTTCTTGTCTAAGGAGTATACCTACTACTTCAATGACTATGATAAACAATTTTGACATCATGAACCTACACCTAAAAATGGCCAAAGAAAAATGGGGGAAATTATTTCTCAACTCATTCTGTAACATTCAACTTTAGAAAATAAATAAATGAGAAACAGACCACAGTTTGTAGTACATGTGTATCAAGGTTGAGAAATAGTCACATTTGGCAATAGTAGGTCAAAAGTTCTCTTGTAGTATCCCCGACATAGACGTGAAGGTATGCAATAATGTGATCAAATTGAGAAGGGTGGATGAAAAAACACCTTCTTGGAGGGTCCTGGTGCAAAGAGTATCAACAAACTGGGATGAAGAGAAGGATCAGACAGGTGGAGACAAAAGGGGAATACCTCGGGGAATACGATCTTCCAGTAAGAGAGAGAATGGTCGATGAACAAGCCCCAAAAGCTACACAAGCACAAAGAAGGAGAAATGAGCGATAATTGCGTACATGAAAGAGAGAATTGAAAAAGTTGGTGTAATGAACGGATAAAGAAATTAAAAAAAAAAACGCAAAGAAACAATAAACTACTGATTGCGAAAATAGAGACTGGAGAGACGGCATACAGTGAAAAACTTGGAGCGTCGTGATAGCAATGTTATAGTACAGAAATTATATAAAGAAAACTTTAAATCGAGCTTTATGGTGTTGCGGGAGTGGCCCTAAATTACCCACCTAAAAAGGTTTAAAAAACGTAAGGGATAAAGGAAAAGCAATGAAACCTTGTCTTCTATATAAGGAGGCTGTAGCAATGGAGGGAGATTTGGCTAGGAGGATTAAAGAAAAAATGTCTGATAGTCACTAAACTAGAGAACTAGAAAGATAGATACTCTGTAGAAGGCATGGGAAATTGGTTAACTTTGCTTCTGAGAAAGGAAAACTGCAGAAGTGTACCACACAATGGATAATTTAAAGAAACGTTAGAGCAGATTAAGAAGAGCATGAGGAATTACCAGTGTTAAACAGGCAATTATTTATATTAAGTTACCTATCCGTTGAATGTTTTTGTAAACAAGTTTTTGAATGTTGGTGCCAGGATTAACTTTAAATTCAGCATTAATAATCCACTTCAATAAATAAGGAGCATGGTGAATTAAGTCTTCTCTTTTTCCATGTTTTAATACCATAGCCACAGATGCCAAACACCCGTACTTAACAAAAACTATACTGTCAGATGCAATGCTTAATTTACACGCCCATTCAAAAAAAGAAGACAAATGTTGTTCCTTCACATCATATCTGTAAGTAAATCCATTAGACACTCTATAAAAATCCTAAGTTACCGTACCTAGTTAAAAATCTAGCAGCTAAATAAGCTGCCGCATCTCTACATTTGTCGGGAACAAGTGCATACTGCTTACATACATTCATTACACGACTCATTATAGGTTTTTGACTGTCATCGCTTGAGGAGTTGAAGCCGTCTAAACGAGACATATGAAAAGGAATCATGACTATGATTGAAAGCCATAAGAGTAATACGTATCGAGTTGACCATGTCTCAGAGTCTTCCTTGTCTTGCAATTCCAACAATTGCAAAACTGGTTCAAAATCGGATACCTACAATTTGCCAATGAAAATAAGAAAATTTGACAATAGCTGACCTCATGAGGTAAATGGCGCACTATAACTTTGTAGCCCCTAACTTTAATAACCACGAACATATACTTAAACACTGCATGTTTCGCTTTATCAGAAATTGACCTATCTCTAATCAACGTTATAAATTTATCTAATAACTGATCGATGTGAGAGTCTAACAAGTGTGGTTGTTCTTGATATTGTCCCAAAATAAAAGTGAATCTTTCATATGCTCTTTCATTGATGGAGGTCTGATCAAAAACAACCGTTTTTAAATTATCAATCATTTTCATAACTTCATCGACTTCAGCAAAGTATTCTAGGGCACATCCCAATCCAAACGGTTCCTCATCTTTATGAATTATATCTTCAGATTTCTCTGGTTTTATAGACATGCTTTCAATAATTTATTTTAAAACAAAAAGTACAAATTTGACAAACGGATGACAGCAGACAACTTCGACTATGAAAGATGACAACAACAAGGAGTGAAGGATGGTTTACACCTGCGTACTGTGTTGCGTTTGCGTTATACACCCTTGAGCGACACCGAAGTGATTATACAAGGTGCGTTCGATTATCTTTTCTGGGGGAGTAGAGCGTACGGTCATTGTATATAATACATATACAATGGTACGGTGGAAACGGGCACGTGATCACTGGAGCAATTAGAGCGCTCGGTAAGATTTTTAGCGCATTTTTGCAAATTTATTTGTAAAAAGTAGCTTTTAATCTCACTTTGGCTGACTGGCTGGCTGGCTGGCAGCAAATGTGGCCGCGTAGAAGAACTCTTGTAGAAAGCCAACGGGTGTACGTGTATCTATAAGGCCGTGTAATTGGTCAACCTTAGGGACAGGGCTACATGATGTGGGGTTGGCGACATCTGGGCGTCATCCTCGAGCGTAGTTTACTAACGTGAAGGTTTTTCAGTTTTTTGCTATTTTCTACTACAGTTTTGGTCCGATTCTTTTCAAATTGGTGTCGTCGTAAAGATGTTGTAAACGCGCACAACTCCTGCATGGCGGAATTTTGTTTTTTGTCCTAGGGGCGAAATTAACGACCTTTTTCAAGGCCCGCGCGCGCGTCTTCGAGAGGTAGTCAACTTCGGGCGCCTTTTACCTTCCGTTGCGAATTTTGTCACGCGGTTTAACGGTTCGTAAATCTCGAATCGCTGTCTCTCTTTCTCGTGTCGCCAATAGAAGCTTGAGTAATGAGAAGTGCCCCAAAAATTAAGTACTATCTTGAAAGGTTCCACCCTGTATATACAGCTTACGACGATACATACATTTTTGAGAGTTGGCAACCATGCAATTTCTAGGTGGGAAAAAAGTTGCCTGCGCCACCTAGAAAGCACGAACGGGAGTTACGTTTGGGATCTTGTCTCGAATGGCGGTCGTGAACGTTTCGTTCCATAAATGGTTGTTGTTATTTTGTGTTATTTAATGCAGGTAGTAATTTTTGCATTTCTTTATATCGTATTTGTGTTTTGTATGCCGCATTTTATATTTGTTGTGTGTTTGAATCTCTGTTTTTGAAATTTACTTTGTTTAACCGCAATGCAATCATATGTGTGATACCGTTATGCTATTGTTTTTAATTGTTTACATTTTTGGTGTAATGTTTGCTTAATTTATGTTTATTGATGTTGATTACTTGGTCTTGTCCTTGAAGTTACATTCATATAAGTTTTCATTTTATTTTAATACTCATGTGGAAATTGCTGATTCGTTTGATGTATGTACTGACTTGTTGTATGTTACTAACAATTTTCTCCGTGAATGAAGCAGTCTCGGGAAGGTGGAAAAAGAAACTGTAGTCTATATTTATTTGTTAGGGCACCTAATTCCGTGCACTGTCTTCGACATCCAACTGTAGGTTCGAAACCCCGAAACCAGGGGCGGACTACCCATCTTGCAGGAGCGAGATTACGCTAATCAAAGCTCTTCAGTTTAGAATCTATGTGTGATAAATGAGTGGCGATTCATTAATTTCCACATATTTTGTTTTTAGTCAAATTTGCCTACAAGGCCATGTAGTTTTCCATCTTGCTTTCAACAAAACGACTTTATTGCACCAAAGATGAGTCACATCCTGTACTTTTAACCCTTTCTCAGAATCTTGGTACCTGCTTCTACCTGACCCATTGTCCCCAAAAACTTGCTTTTAACCTTGAGTGTAACCAACATTGTGTATATGCATTTACTATCTTTGTTAACTACTGCTTAAACTTTTACAAAATATTTTGTTAATTAACTTTTGGACTGTTTTAATCAAACTGCAAGGTTTTTCTTACGTCGTACTCTTTTTATCCTTGGCAGTGACTTTTTGCGAGAGTACGACACCTTTTGGCTTTGTTTGTTTTGTTTATATTAATGTACATCAACTAAATTTCCGGGTTTTCACAATCATAATAATTACGATCATTATTAAACAAACTTCTCACAATTTCAGTGTTTTATTTAAAATTCCTTCCCTACTGTGCTTCAGGTCAAAGCGTTGTCTACAACTAACGTAAGGAGGCCCTGCCTTAGATGTTTTATCACGTGCCACTTTTCAAATTTAAGCGGGTACTTGTTTAGTTTTAGAGGGAATAGTCATTCGGGTGGCCATTTTATAAAACGTTGCCGGGTTTATTTTATTTCCGTGTTCTTGTAGTGTGAAGTTAGCGTAGAACCTGGGGGTTAAGTACACTACAATCTTGTGGAAGGCTTTTAGCGAAATCCACCAAAATGTGGGTGTAATATAAGTATGCACCGAAAAAGGAAAGCCTCCGACAAGATCTAACGGATGGTGGAGTGAAAACTTCAAACGCGAATTTGGGGTGAACGGAGCGTCGGAAGTGGGTACCGCCAAAGGGAATGTGGTAGCCCGCGACACGATCTTCCTGATGGTGGAGTCAAATCTTCAAACGCGAATTGCGGGTGAACGGGTAGTCGTAGGTGGGTACCGCCAAAGGGAATGTGGTAGCCGGCGACACGATCTTACTGATGGTGGAGTCAAATCTTCAAACGCGAATTGCGGGCGAACGGAACGTCGGAAGTGGGTACAGTCAAAGGGAATGTGGTATCCCCCGACACGATCTTACAGATGATGGATTCAAATCTTCAATTGCGCATTGGAAGGGAACGGGACATCGGAAATGGATACCGACAAAGGGAATATGGTAGCCCCCGACAAGATTTTACTGATGGTGGAGTCAAAACTTATTAAACGCGAATTGCGGGTACACGCGGAAAATGGGAAGCGGGTACCGACAAAGTGAATGTAGTAGCCTTCGACAAGATCTTTTATTGATGGTTGAGTCAAATGTGGCTAATAGAATACTGATCTGCCACACAAAAATGCGCTGAAGTTCCTTCGATCCCACACGAGGACTTTGACAATTTTTTTTAAATAAGCCATGTCAGGCCATAGCAACTTTAGGATACATTTTTCTTAAACTTACCCTTGACTTCACATGGCACGCGCTGACATCACAATTCATTGTGAACCAACCTTCAATTATTTGTAGGTCATGTGCACCTGGTATTCTACTAATTTGATCTATTCAATACATAAATGAAGAAAATAAGAAAATAAATAACGCAAACAATTACAATAAATGTTCGAAGTGTCCTCCTTGACATTTTAAGTACCTAATAACCTAACCAATGAATAAAGATTATTCATTGAACCCGATTGAACCTAACCGATTTCGTAATTAAATTGGACGGCGGTATTTTTAAAAATGTGACAACTGTCAATTGTATCTACTACTCATTTGAACTACTCAATAGATTGATGTGTTTTTTTTTAATCGAACATAGGGAAATTACATTGCATACAAACTCCTATGTTCGCATTTAAAAACCAGGTGTCAAATTCTTGACAGAATAGCTTCCTAGCTGAAACCAAAAATTGCCAACATATGTATGCACTTACAGACGTGTTGCGCATGCGCAGAAATGCAATTTTCTTATTTATGGAACAATTAAAACTTCCCGTCTGTAACTGCGTACATATGTTGGCAATTTTTGGTTTCAGCTAGGAAGCTATTCTGTCAAGAATTTGACACCTGGTTTTACTTGGAACACCTTATCTACATCAATTTCTTTTTTTTTATGCATACATACATACATTTTTGAGAAACGGTAGGTAAAGCTGTTTGCACCTCCTGCTATATGCAGGAGACTGTTTTGTGCTAAAGGTTGCGAACGACAATGACAATGACAACGACAATAAGATCTTAAGCCCGAGGTACATTAGTGCATTGATCCGTCTTTATTTCTTACTCTGAGGATCCGATACGTTGATGCGATTTGTCGATTAGTTTGGTCGGTGCAGTGCGTGATGCATGTGCTCTATACATTATGCATAATCGATGCCACGATTTGGTTGGAGTGCGGTGCATGAATGGAGTCTAGATTTAACTACCAATGCAACAAATCAAGCATCAAACAACGTTGATAGACCGAGAGCCCGCGTAGAAAATACCTCGTCATAGGGTACAAAAGGTTTGATGTAACTAGGCCGTAGAATGTCACCGTGTGATTCCAAAATCGCCCGTCTGCCGGGCCGCGGCGGTCAACTTAGCGTGGGGGCGAATTTTAAAAACTGTTCCAAATCAGATAATACCTCGTCACTGGTACACGTATGATTTTTTGCAATCTGATTCGGAAATGTGCACCAAATTCATAGTTGCAGCGGCAACTTTCCCGAGCAGACGTACATTCAAACATTCAAAAATTGTTAAATAGCTCGTCATGAGGTACTACACGCTCAAAATAAAGCTCTTTGAATGTAGAATTTGGGAAAACCATGAAAAACGCGGCAGACGGTCGCATAACTATAGCAGACACCTTTGAAATTTGTAGTTCCATCTTCGTTTAACGCATTACTCCCCGTGCGGTAAAGCGAGACCACTGTCACTCAAGCACGTTCTGCTTGTAAAGCAGATCTACAGCTGGAAGTAGGTACCTACACCTAAATTAAATGTAGGCATTCCACAAATAATAGGATTTATGTTACAAAACATGAACACAAATATTAAAAAACGCTATAAAAAGTGTTTAGAATGGCAATATAACAAAAAAAACGAATACGCTAGGGGTGCGGGGGTATATACTAAAACTAAGGGAAATCTTCCATTAAATATCCCCATAACTATCTATTATCTATCTATATTCGTTGTTTCATTTTACCAAAATTGCAAATTACACCCGATGGTTCGTTTTGAAATGAAAGTCTTGTATAGGTATATCGTTACGGCATTTGACATTGTTTTATTATTTTGAATTTTAGCACCATCAATGTTTTTTGTAATGTGATTTCATATAATGTCATTAATTTTTATTTTAATATCTAAACAAAATTCACCAGGTGATATTGATTGAAAGAGTTGAAAATTCAGTTTACGATAAACGGAAAACAAGTCTTGTGTCTCCCTCTGCATACGTATACAGTTGAGGCTGTTTTGAACTTCCCTATGTATATAGCCATAAACTATAAAATTTGTAACATATATCTTCTTCTTCACAATTTACCTCGCAATTTACATACCGGGTTGATTTTCCCAAACCGCACGGTCCGTATACTAAAATCGAACATGCAGAATTAACATAAGAAAAAGGTTTTTTGTAGATCGTTGCTCCCCATGTTAACTTTGAGGGTTTATAATGACTCCAATCGAAAGAAGATTTTTTTCTCATCTAATGATGTATGAAATAGTTCATTTTCAGGTGTATTTCTCATTATTTTAGCACAAATTCGGCAATAAATCCAATTACCAAAATCATGGTTAGCCATGGCGAGTAAGACAAAAAGCAGATTCAAACGTTATTCAAATCCAAATCAATATTAGCTTCTGATAACTGGCATCAATTTTTTTGTAAAATGCAGTTCACTGAGGAAAAAGTTTTTATAATAAACAACGTTTACAGCGGAAATATTTACTCTTGTACGCGATATTGTACATTTTAATGAGCGTCCATGGATAATTGAGCGTCCCATTCCGTCTGTGTCAAAAGCCACTATGCGATAAAAAATGAGTTGCTGTCGAGTCGCCTTTGGAATTTTTGTTTACATGGGAAATCGTGCTTAATTTGAACTTCCAAAGGCGACTCGACAGCAACTCATTTATGATCGCACGTTGTTTCAATTCTTCAGAAAATTTCCATGGCGTAACATGATTTTGTTAATTGGATTTATTGACGAATTTTTGATAAAATAATGAGAAATACACATTGATGGTGCCAAAATTCAAAATAGTAAAATAATGTAAATGCCGTAACGATACCTATACAAGACTTTCATTTCAAAACGAACCATTGCAATTTTGATAAAATAAATCGATGAAGTTTTAAAGACACCTTCATTTAGATAGTTATGGGGATATTTAATGGAAGATTTCCCTCAGTTTTGGCATTTACCGCCGCACCCCTTGCGTACCTATTCGTTTGTTTTTGTTATATTGCCATTCTAAACACTTTTATAACGGTTTGTATTTCATAAATCCTATTATTTGTGGAAGCCTGCATTTAATTTAGGTGTAGGTACCTACTTCCAGCTGTAGATCCGTTTTTACAAGCAGCGCGTGCTTGAGTGACAGCGCTCTCGCTTTACCGCACGGGGAGTAATGCGTTAAACGAAGATGGAGCTACAAATTTCAAAGGCGTCTGCTATAGTTATACGACCGTCTGACGCGTTTTTCATGGTTTTCCCAAATTCTACATTCAAAGAGCTTTATTTTAAGCTATAATTCGAGCGTGTACCTTATGACGAGGTATTTAACAATTTTTGAATGTTTTTAAACGCGTCTGCTCGGGAAAGTTGCCCAGATAAATCGTCTGCTGCTGCAACTATGAATTTGGTGCACATTTCCGAATCAGATTGTAAAAAAATCATACGTGTACCAGTGACGAGGTAGTATGTGATTTGGAACAGTATTCAAAATTCGCCCCCACGCTAAGTTGACCGCCGCGGGCCGGCAGACGGGCGATTTTGGAATCACACGGTGTCATTATACTGCCTAGTTACATCAAACCTTTTGTACCCTATGACGAGGTATTTTCTACGCGGGCTCTCGGTCTATGATGCGTCGATGTAGTACACTTTCCTTCGATGATTCGTCGAAAATAGGGTTGCCACATTGACGGCGTTGAATTCCGGGACACCATCCCTCCGTGAACCAAAATTATGACCGGGTAAAAACATACCACATTCAAATATTTATTGGGTAACTATTTCGTTTGTAACTTTCACAATTTTGGTAAACAAATTGTTGTTTTTTGTTGCAATTTTTGTATTGTTACTATATTTAATTTTTTTTTAATGTCATACCTATTAATCCCATTATATTTTTTAATGCACAAATTAACGCAACAGAAAAAATATTTTAATAAAAAAACTGGATGTTAATATGTTCGCAATGTATGTAGATTTATGTTTCTCATGTAGCCTATGTCCGGCAGACGGCCATACGCAATCTGGCAACCCTGCAAACACTATAAATTCTATTGATAGCAACTTTCGCCCGTATGGAAAGGGGTTTTTACATTGCATTTCAGGTGGATATAATAATATTTATTTCATGCATAGTTAACAAAAGAAACTTACATTCAGCAAAACATTGAAGAAATCTAACATAATATACATGCTAATAAGTTTAATAATTACATATTAATACATGGAAGTTTTCATATCGTAAAGCACAAACTCTTCAACAGAATAGAACGCTTTACTTAATAAGAAAGCTTTAACCTTTAACCATTGTTTATTCATTTATTAAATAGCTTTAATTCTAAGGCGGTTAAACAGCTGGGTACAGGGCAGATGGTTGTTATTGTTATTCAATCCAACTATCGGTCGCGTTATATAATGACCTATGTTACATTGCTCAGCGTGCGTACTGTACATAAATTTCACATCTTCAACAAAAAAATAATGTATAGCTACCTAAAGTAGGTATTTTTAGCGTTTCATTTTTTCATTTCATTTCATTTTATTATTTGTGATCTATACAATAGTATTTTCACACGTCATCAGGTACAATTACATAATATTAAAAAAAAAGACAAAGGACACGAGAACATGATCACACAAGGTACTGTTGCTTTTAAAACTTAAATGTTATCAAATTTATCTTTTAAAAATTCTTCATAAGAATAAAAAGCTTTTCGTTTAGGTAACTATTTGCACAGTTTTTAAATGCGTGCAAATCTAAATATTTTATTTGTTTTGGCAAGACATTGAAAAATTTCATGCCGTAAAATGTAGTGCCATCTTTGGTCTTGTTTAATCTATGAAACGGTATATAAAGATTCTCTTTGTTCCTTGTATTGTAAGTATGAATATCGGTGCTTACAGTTAGTGTAGTCATGTGTTCTTTAGTATATATTAAACATTGCTGTATGTAAATGCAAGGTAATGTCAATATATTTAATTCGATAAAACCCTGACGACAACAATCTCTGTATTTAAGGTTTTTTAATAATCGTATACATTTGCGCTGCAAACCAAATAATACTCGAGAGTGGGCAGAATGGCCCCATGCAAGAATTGCATAAGATAATACCGAATGAAATATGCCATAGTATGCTGCCATAACAGTTTCCTTCGTAGTCACCCTTATTAAATTGCGAATCAAAAATAGTGCTCTAGCTAATTTAACACGCTGAACGTTAACATGTTGGTCCCACTTCAACTCCGAATCAAGTGTTACGCCCAATAATCCAAGCTCTCTGCGTTCGCTTAATACTTTAATCAGTGCTAATATGTTTTCAAACGAGGTGTAAATATTTTAATTAAATAGGTTTTGTGACTTCATTAAAATTACGTTGATGTCCTTTTATAGAGGATAATGTTAGATAAACGCGCTTACTGTAATTTGTGGGATAGGCATATATTTATAAATACAACTTGGCTTGGTGAGGTGCACGTTTTGAGTACGAGTTTATTTGGTCAAATGGAGAACACTGAGAAAAGTGCTGTAGCAGATCTTAATAATGCAAAGCAGTTCTTGAAAGGTTTTGGGGAATTATTTTATATTATCAATCCGAATACGACGTCTTATTCACATGTGGAAAATGTACCCAATTTCGTGTTGAATGTAAGTTTATGTTTTGTCAAATTAGTTATGACCGATAAAAAATATTCACATTTTTGTTGATAAACAATTATACTCTTTGACAATACTTACTTATACATTGCGCAAAAGTAATACGTACGGAAAACCTCCTACATTTCGTCTGTTTAAATCTGCCCCGTGCTTGTTTTTTTCAACAGCTCGATAATCTCAGCGTGTTAGTTAAGTGACCCAACATCATTAATAAATGAATTCGACTGCGTAAATCTGACGAAATGTTATTTCTTAATTTAAATTTTTTAAATTGCTCGCACTCTCTTGTAGACATTAATGTGAGAAATGAGCACGAGAATGAAATGGACAAGAAAAGGTTGCATTTTGAATAGGTCCTCGGCAGTATTTAAAAAAACAGTTTTAAAAAACGGATAGAACGTTTTAAATAGCCAAAAGAGTGAGTATATAAAACAAACAACATAAAAATTAAGGTCAATAGCTCTTTCAGAAAAGAATTGTATAATATAAAAATGTATAGGTACACACAATTTTCAATAAACCTAAGTCAAAAAACCGTTCCATATTTTTTTAAGTTCTTATCAAATCCGTAAAAATAGAAATCTTCGACGTAAAATCTCTTTACCGACACCGGTGATCATAGTGGGTGATATTTGCATCAACGTCCGTTTAAATATTTGTTCTTAGAACACACCCAAACTATAAAAGAAATAAAATCTGTTAATTTTGGATCCTTGAATACCGGCCAACAATGTACCTATTTTCGTCAAATGCGAGTCATGGATCCTAATTTTTCTTTGGATAACTCCGGTTGTTATTCGGTATTCAACAATTACAGACATGTGAAACTACAACAATGAGCTTTATGTAAAATATTTTTATTTTGTTGGTATTTAATTTAGGCTTTGAATATAAATCTCGGGCGCAAAATTGATAACAGATTCTGTATTTACATCCAGACATTAACATTTTATCATATATCAACAATTTTATTTTGCAGTAATTGCGAAGTAATAAATGTGACGGCATAAAATATTGAACAAGAACGTTTTTGTTATGGTTCGCTTCGAACATATCTCAAACCAAAGTTGAAAAAGAAATATTAGGTTATCGGTTTAACACAGCGAAAACAATAAGATATCGATAAACAATATGATGTTGACAAACACCTCTTGCCTGACCACATATACCACTATCAGAATTTTGTGCAAGGGAGGACAATAATAAAAATTGGAGTAAATGTATAAAATATTTCATAATACGACATAAAATAAACACATAGTTTATGAACTGTAGACAAAAATCCCACTCGAAGGTGTGTAACAGCTGGGGTTACATTTCAGGATGGGAAATTACTGCAAAGATAGATTTTTTTAATATTACTTTGCTGACGGCTCACTTCAAAACAAATTCTACATAAACTTGGCCTTTTTTTCTTTCTTTTGCTTTCTGAAGAAATTAAAAATCTGGTATTACTTTCGACTGCAGACAATAAATAAGAATTTAATCTGAAATGATTGAATATATTGATCAATCAATCGATCAATCAGTCATAAGGAGTTAAAAGATTTTCTCCTGAACGTGACGATAACCTGCCACAACTCTATCTGACTCGTTGAACACCCAACCTTTTTCAAGTTGAATAACAGAAATTGTTTAAAAATGTGATTCCGCGATTTTTAAATTAAAAATCAGTAAATCGGAGAATAAAACCCCTCCGTAGTCAAATTAACTTTTTGCCTTTGGAAACTGTAAGTATGTGTAATTAATATTATTCTTATGCATGTAGTTAAATGGATATATTTTTTCAGGCTTGGCCGTATTTTCTATTTTTTATCATCTTGGAAAATATACTTTTATGGATGAATAAAAAACCTACCTATCGACTGAACGATAGCCTGACTAGTCTATCAATTGCTATTGTTTCTGTTACTGTGAGGTAAGCGACATTATTATTTTATTTTATAGTACCTATATGTTAAATTGACTTAGTTCATATGTTTGAATGAGTAGACTAAGCAGTTCTTTAACCGTAAGGATAGATAAAGTGATCACTTTAACCGTAAGGGTAGATAAACATATGATTGTGCATTCTAATTTCAAATGCACGCTATAAAGTGACGTTCTGAACATTTGACAGAATTGTCAGAAGCTTTACAATGATTTATATGGCTTCTACTATAAAATAAAGTTTTGTATTATCACAGCCGTCTATAATTACAAGCCATGCTGAGAAGTTTGGCAACGTTGTCCGAAAGTCAATCGGTGGGCCGATGTAAGTGGCGTCTTGTTGCTCCTGAAAAATGCAATTTTTCCTCTCTCCTGTGTTCCTTCAGAAAATCGACTTGACATTTCCGTGCTAGAATATCTGAAATACAATCTAATAAAATAATAATTGTATTCTTTCACGATAAACAATTACCGTACTTACGTACCACGTAGTGTGTAGGTCATATTTGAGCTTGTACAGATACTTTGAACAAATACAAGCGCTTGTAAAGGGTCCAGTAAGGAGTAGCCTGCTTTAGAGGTTATGACAACAAATCGATATATTTCGTTTAGCAACATACCTGAATAATAATTTCTGTTCATTCCGTATGGAGTAACACAAATTGTGGCAATCTCACCCTGTTAAAACAGGTAAATAGGACTATTACACCCAAAACACATATAAAATACATCTGCCAAGTTGAATTAGGAAATCGGCCTACCATGCAGTGTTGCCATAATTCTCAGCACGGCTTGTAATTATAGACGGCTGTGGTATTATATACGCCAATAAAGGGAAACTAACCATCTCGTGAAAGTTAATTCATTCATGGCTGCGCTACTCGTGAATTAACATCTTTCAGTCAATGGTTAAAATATCTCTTTATCGTCTTGTATATTAAATAACTGTTATATTGCCCCTATTGCTACAGGATAGTGACAAGTAAGCTACTTTGGGTTCTTAATTAAAACCGACTTTAAACTCCAGTTTTTTATCGCAATGTTTACCAATTACTCAAAATGATTACATTACCACAACAGGTGCGCACTCATTTGCAACAAAATGCCCCCAACGAGACAAACGTGCCGCGCGCGCTGTAACAAATTTGTCGTCAGTACGTTGACACAAACAGAGAATAGAATGCGCTAAACATTTTCCAATTTTGATGGGAACGCAGAAAATACCGCAAACTCTACAAAAAGCACAAATTTCCCCCGCAAAATGTTTGTCGGAATCTATTCAACGCGCGCGGCCCGTTTGGTTCGTTCGGGGCACTTTGTTGCAAATGAGATTTTCCTTGTGAAATTGATTACTTTTACATCCTCCTTCGCTCAAATTAGGGGTTTCGTTTCGAATTTTGTAATTTACCAACATCCCTACTTCATGTTTCAGTTGTGCAATTCTTACTCTCATATCAATATTATCCACGTACTAATATTTCATCCTATTTAAATTTTATACAGTTGTATAAATAGTAGTTTATCGATGTAGATTAACATTTCGAGGAGCTGAGAGTTACGCCTACGTCTATTTGTACGAAAATTATCATTTTGTGGATTTACCATGGAACCATCCTTCAACTTGGTATATGGCAGCACTCGGTGTAGATTTTTGCTATTATTGGATGCATAGGGCAGCACATGGTAATTTGAAACATTGCTTCTATTTGTTCGAATGGATTTGATTACAGAGGTGCATATTTTATGGGCACAGCACCAAGTTCATCACAGCTCCGAAGAGTTTAATATGGTTGTTACTTTACGGCATTCCGTGTTGCATGGATGGTGCGGATTTGTAAGTAAATTAGAATCGCCATTAGATAAAAATACTAGTCTAGATCCAGTGACATAATTGCAGTGATGATTTGGTCAAAGCATACTTTGTGTGATGATGTTGGGGGGATGATTTAGAAGTGTCATAGGAGAGGGTGTGTGGCGGGAAGGGGAAGATACATTCAACCTGGAAAGAATAGTGCTACTTATGCAGTTAAAGTTACACAAGTTTTGCAATGGGTGTTTCGTTATCGTTCTGATAGTCCGCCATTATCACTGTACCTGCTATAAGATTTACAAAACCATTAACCGGTGTTGAGAGTGGAGATCTATAAGGTGTCTTTAGTACTTAAGTACTAAACCTTACTTAAGTAAGGTTCAATTCTTCATGCAAATTGCGCCAAATATTGTTGATAACAGCGGGTGAGACAGTACGAATTTGAGTTTTAATATACAGTGAGTTTTTTTTTAATGCGAACATAGGAGTTTGCATGCAATGTAATTTCCCTATGTTCGATTTTTAAAAAAACACATCAATATATGAGATGTGCGCGGTTCACATTCCCAAAACGGGCAATTTGTGTGACTATGAACAGCAACTCATAGTCTTTATGATGAAGAGCACTCGGTAAGATTCTTTTAATTAAGCCATGTGAGGCCATAGCAACTTTAGGATAAATTTTTTTAACTTACGATAACTTGACTTCACATGGCACGCGCTGACATCACAATTCATTGTGAACCAACCTTCAATTATTTGTAGGTCATGTGCACCTGGTATTCTACTAATTTGATCTATTCAATACATAAGTGAAGGAAATAAGAAAATAAATAACGAGAACAATTACAATAAAGGTTCGAAGTGTCTTCCTAGACATTCTAAGTAATAACCTAACCGATTTCGTAATTAAATTGGACGGCGGTATTTTAAAAAATGTGACAGCTGTCAATTGTATCTACTACTCATTTGAACTACTCAATAGATTGATGTGTTTTTTTTTAAATCGAACATAGGGAAATTACATTGCATACAAACTCATATGTTCGCATTAAAAAAAAATTCACTGTATAAAAGTAAGTTAGTCACAATGTCATACGAATGGTCGATTGTTTTTCCATCACCATGTCAGTGTTAAAATCGTAAGAAGTTAGAGACGGAAGAAGAGAGCAGACGGACACCATTTGTTAAGCGAGACAATTTTGGCGGTATTCTTCTTGAAAATAATTAGTTTGCTTGGCGCTTTTTGTAAAATAAGTAGTGCGAAAAGCGAGAAGTTTTAGCTTGTATGAGTCATCATCGAGGGCAGAAGAAAATTACGCTGTAATTCAACATAGAATAGCTGAACAAGGTTGGCGACCTAGAATATTCCTCAATCCATTATAATGGGAAGCATTGGTTGCGAAATATTATAGCTGTTTTACATGATTTTGGGTAATTGTGTCTTTCCATCCAAGCGAAGGATCCTATACCGAATTTACAGCATAGCAGTATAGTGGGTTGCCTACCTCACACGATTCAGCTGCAGAGACTTGTTACTACTAGACCGCGCATAGCTCAAGTTGTACGTTGTCAGCATGGTAGGCCACCCACCGAACTCGTAAAGGCAAGAACTTTCGCGCTCCAATCTTCACTATTTGTTTTTGCTGGGATTATATCGCTAAACTGGGCTAGTTTTTCAATATTTTTTAAAATTTCTTTGTTGAATCGAAAGCGCACACTTTCTAGACACATAATGTTCTCAGAAAAGTTTATAAACGGTAATAATGAAATAAATGTAATCTAGTGTACATTTTCGTATAAGCAAAGAATCTTTGGTATAAGGTATTTTTTTACCGGATAGCTACATCTAGGTATAGTTATGTAGAATGGAATGGAAACAGCAGAAAAGCACAAGAATATTTTGAGAAACAATCTTTGCGATAGTGTAACAGAGATATGAATTTGTTTACTCTGCGTCTTTGTTGTACGTCGCGCAGAAATCTCCACGGATGTAATTTGTTTTTGGCACTTCAAGATCATATCATCATCATATATAATATATATCATAATCATGTCCTGTTACAATTGAAATCTGTTCTACACTCTATGATTTATGAATGAAAAACAATATCCGATAAATGTCCATGACGACTACGGTGGCGGACATATTTCTTTCAACAAAATTTTCCATCATATGTATGCATAATTATGACTCCATCATGAATTACGCTCTCGATGTTGGCTTTGAGCTTCGCAATTGCACAATTGTTGGATTATCCTTATAAATTTAATCTTTCACGGAACCCCAGAAGAAATAATCTAATAGTGTTAGATCGCATGATCTTGTGGCCAATTGACATCACCTCTACGCGAAATCAAACGTCCATCAAATTTGGTTTTTAATAAATCGATTTTCTTCAGCTCGGGACGAGTCAAGCCCGGTTGTTGGAATTGAAAAAATTTGGATCCTCCTGAGCACTATCCCTCAGCAGCAATATTATCGTGCGAACGACCGGTACGAGTACGTTTTGGTTTTGCTACGTTGAGTACTGACCCAGTAGACTCAAACTTTTTCACAAAATTCTTAATTGCAGGCTGTGATGGCTGATTATAACGACCGAAAATATCCACGATTTTACTAATTGTGGTTTTACAGACCGACCGTTTTCATTATGGATTTTGGAATTATTGTTATGCGTTTTTCTAGTGAAATTGAAATCATTTTCTTAAATTGTAGACCTTCGACTGTATTATCGCCGCCACAAGAGAAGAGCCCTGCGTCATCAATGTACGAATGCATAAATCCAAGGTGTTGATACTTACATCTCAAAAATTTGCGCAACCCAAAAAAGGACAGAGAACGAAACAAGTTCTTGGGATATAATAGACGTGCGCTTTTGAAAAGCTAAATGTAATGAAAAGAGATAACCTATAACGCTTGTCAAGTTTAACATGCATATTTGATGCTGATTTGACCAACGTCGTAATACTCTTAATTATTTTCAAATTTTCCATAACCTCTTTTGCTCTTCGTTTTTGTCATTAGATGAATATACGTTTATTTTTCCAACAAAACAATGTAATTGGTATAAGGATATGTATTGAATTATAATTTTTCTGTACCTACAAATGTTGCATGGCTCTTATACTAGTATAAAACTTCACATTTCATCCAGTCACCTAAAAATCAAACAAGTTCGGTTATCTTTTTGAATCAGGTGTAAATATCCTTACCTTGCATAAGTTGTTGTTAGATTCTAGGTGTAATTTGAGTAATTACCTCCGTAATTACTAATTCTGCTAGCAGTTTTCCCATTTAGAATGATATAACCTACAAAATTAATTTCTAACTGTTATATGATAAAACAACGAAGCTTATGGCTCACCTTTTGAATTGATACAGTAATTACACCAAAACGTCTAAGTTTTCTTCGATTTTGTATAAATAAGCTGTTTTCTTTCCCCTACCTAATAACTAAATTTGACAAGTAAACAACTGAATTGGGATTTGCTGTTGCTCTTTTTAAACCTTTGCGAAACTACGCCATCTAGTACATTTTTCAACAACTTTAATATTTATTATTACGGAACTATTTTGACTTTGATTTTAAATCTTAAATCACACGCTTGTAGATGATAACGCAGGGCTCTTCTCTTGTGGCGGCGATAGTAAATGCAAATGTCACTAGAAACTAAAAGACGTATCAGTCACCTTAACCAACCTATTATAAAAAAGTTCTTATTGAAAAACCCTGCATAAAAGTCAAATTTTAATTGCACGGATAGGCTTTTCAACCCTATACAAAATTTCACTGTTCCAACAACGGGTGAAATGTTGTGTGGAATGGATAGAAAACGTAAAAACGTGCCCTACCTATGGCGTCAATCGGACGATGTTCACATGTTTAAATGTTTGCCTCTGTCACAGCCGTCTATAATTACAAGCCGTGCTGAGAATTATGACAACACTGCATGGTAGGCCGATTTCCTAATTCAACTTGGCAAATGGCAGCTTTCAGGTGTATTTTATATATGTTTTGGGTGTAATATTCCTATTTACCTGTTTTAACAGGGTAGGATTGCCACAATTTGTGTTACTCCATACGGAATGAACTGAAATTATTATTCAGGTAAGTTGCTAAATAATAATAATAATATTACACTTATAGATAAAATCACAACCCACTCGTATTCAACCCAAACGCAAAGCCAAAGAAACACAAGTCAGTAGCGTTTTAACATGACGTTTACCCGTTTACGTTTTGTCTTGTTAATCAACGTTTACAACTGAGTAACAAATAAAATACATTACGATGCAGTTACCAATTTACAGCGTTCCGAATTTTAAAGTCAAATAAAAATGTTATTATCCATGTTGGTAATTAAATAAAATATATGTACAATTGTAAGCTGCCTAAGTATCTTTCTTCTGTATTAAAACCACCAAGGCGAAACACAGAAGAGAGGAAAATTGCATTTTTCAGGAGCAACAAGACGCCAGTAAAACTTACATCGGCCCACCGATTGACTTTCGGACAACGTTGCCAAACTTCTCAGCATGGCTTGTAATTATAGACGGCTGTGCCTCTGTCAAGCTTTGTATTAACAGTAATTTTATTAAGAAATTCGACTTATTAGGGGAGATTTGTGCTGTAATCTCTTAAAGACCAGCCAATTGATCTTTATTTATTGCAATAATAATGTTGAAGCAGTCGAACAACAATGGAAACATTGCAACCTTATACAATCTTCACAAAATCCTCATAGAAATAGGGCTTAACAATGTCACTGGCTCTTATTTACAAATTAGTTCAGTTTTTTATTCCCGATTTCAGATTTTTTATTTGCCGTTAGCATTCGCCATTCCGCCTGCACATTTTGTAACTCACCAGCAATTCAATTTAATATTTCAATTTTGGGTACACACCGAAGTAGTTAAAACTTTGGGACCATTGGAGTGGATATTTAATACCCCAAATCATCACCGTGTGCATCACGGTAAATAAAACTGGGTAATAACATTTTATAATTTTAAAAATTCAGGTTCTAATTTTTACTGTCTTGATAAAAATTATGGCGGTGTCCTTATAATTTGGGATCGAATTTTTGGTACATTTGCTAATCCAGCGCCGAATGAAGAAATAATATACGGTTTAGTTGTTAATCAACCCTCTTTTAATCTACTGCGTTTGGAGGTATGTTAAAGAATTTCTGTTGCAAATACTGGCAATTTTTTGTCCACACAGACTTTTTACACCATTTATGCGTACGAGAAAATGAATTCAATGGCTAGTTGGAGATATAAATTGGCTGCCATATTTTATGGGCCCTCTTGGCAACCAAATAGACCTCGCTTGGGAGCCGAAGAAGACATCGTGAAGGTAAAGTAGAGTCACCTTACCATTATGACAGATTATTCGCAATAGGTGGGACCAAGGGAGAAATATTATGTGAAGCTTCCAATGTGGTGTAATGCTTATATAATTATTCATTTTTGTTTAGTGATTTATATTTTTCAAGAATTTGTTATTTTGCATGCGGTAAGTAACTGATTGTGAAATATAAATATCTAAATCTTTTTTATTCGTTGTAGCAAATGAATCCCATGACCGCTACATGTTTTATATGTTACATAATTGGCTCGCTGACAGTTATTGGCCTACTTTTTGACAACTCTCAATATGCGGCCAATTGCGAATTGATTCGATGTGGATTACTAGTGTTTGCTATACAAGTTGGTGTGCTTACCATCGAGAAAAAAAATGTATTTGGTTTCTGCGAATTATTTTTTGGGGTGTCGTCATTCTTATGGATCTTGAAGTCGTTTAATGTATTGCAAATTAGCACACCTGACAAAAATGCCTGAAATGATCCCACCGTTTATCAAGTTATTTTTGAAAACTAATGATACAATAAGACCCAAGGCAAAGTGAAGGACGGTAAAAAAAATTTGTTACTAAAATGTTCTGTGTTGAATAAATGTTGTGCATGGAGTCCCTCAAGGATCTATATTAGGGGCTTTACTTTTCATTAATAAATAAATGACTTTCTTACTTCTTAATTTCGGACCACAATATCAAAACTTTAGCTCTTGAAAGTCCCATATCAAGTCATATATTGATGAAAAACTTACTTGGGTCGACTTATACAATATCGTTCCTGATTGTATCAAACCTCACAATTTTTTTCAATTTAAAAGTCGTTAAGCCGCATTTATTAAGACATTCTTTTTATAACGTTACTGAATATTTACATACGCCTTGGAGAACTATTCAATAATTTTAATGATATTTATTTATTTCATTGTTTGTTTACTTTTGTGTACCTGTGTAGTAGTATTCTCAAGAGTCCCTTTCACCTTTACTTGTTTATATTTTATCTCTGTTTTGTCTCTTATTAACTAAAATTTTAAATTGTTTATAATCCATACTATTCTGTTTCAGCCACATGGTTTGTTTAGCTTTTATTTATTTGAAATTTTAAACTGTTTTTATTATTCTTTTTATATATGCATTGTACTAATTTATTATTAATTTACTATATTTACTGACTTGTCAAAACCTATTTATGGTATACGGACAAATAAAAATTGATTGATTGATTGTAAGGTTTAATAATAATAATAATAGAGATTTATTGCCCAACAGAACAGACCTTCCAATTACAGGACAATACATAATAGTTAACGCGCAATGATTTAATGTAATAAGAAAAAAAAAAGAAAAAGAAAGAAACACAACAAAAAACTCAAAATCTTAACATAACTAAACAACAACAAAATAATTAAATTCATATTTAAAAAAAAAACCAAATTAAATTGTCGACAAACTGCAAGTTACATTCTATGCATATAAAATAAAGAGAGCAGGTGTAACGTAATTTTAATTTAATTTTAATGAAAATTGGTACGTCTTCAGAAAGAACAAATTATTGCTTTTAACTAATTTTATGTTTCACGGTATTTTGTAAGACAACAGTAGTCAAACTGTAGTATAACGAACAAACATGTATTTCAGTTATAAAGAAGCTCGCCAACCCACTTTTGAAGCTGTACCATCAAAGGAAAGAAGATCATAATTTGTTATAATTTGTTTGTATAGCCATTGTTTAAATAATGGTATAACCTATTGCAAGGTTAAATCGTAGCGTGGTTTATCCCTGCACTAATTAGAAGGAGAACTCTGAAGAAACCTCTAATGATTTTCCTTTTTTTAAAAAACTGAATTTCAATTGACTTATAAACATGATGATTTAAATCAAAGCTCAAAGGCAATAATAAAATTGTAAAAGGTGTTCTGAAGATTTTCCTTGCAATGAAACAAGTTAGCGGGTAAGACCGAACGGTTAAAATCGGAGACCAGCATTTCTAAACAAATTAAAAATGTGGTCGCCCGTGACCGACGAAAGCGCTCTGAATGGAAGTGACTAATCCATTTTTGTTCTGGTCTCGGAACTGTGCTACACCGTATAAGAAAGAAACCACAACGAAAAAGCTTAAGGGGGCTAGGGATAGAGGATAGGCAACACACAATGGTCACTGAAATTTGCAATAAAAGTCGAAACTTTTGAGTAATTTTTAAAGCCCAAATATTAATTCTAACTAGAGGTCTTATCGGAAATTGATAGAGATATAGAAAGTCATTAAATGTAGCGATTTATTTTTTTGATAAAATTATTTAAGTCGTGTATAAACGATAATCTTGAATTTACTAAGAACGCGAATATTGGCCTTAGTAAAAAAAATATTTAAAAAGTAAATCCGCACAATTTATTTAGTAACTAAGTGGATTAAAAAAATATATTACGAACTGCTTCAAATTATGAAATAACCCGTAATTTTTACTCAAAAGTTTATATAAAAAATATAGCGACGGAAGAAATGCAATACCTTCCATACAATGACGATAGGCAACTCAGGTAGCACTTTTACCTGGAAAATATTAACACCTAATGACCATTATACTTATATACAATGGTTTATGATCCTATTGGACCAGTAACAAAAGAATCTCAATGCCTTCCATTTATTCGTCTATTAGTACCAACGATAATTGACCGATAATTAAAAAAATATTGTACGTCAATAAATGTAATATTCAGGAGTAACAACGTTTTAATTTTTTAGACCCGTTTCATACATTTTTTTCATACATTTGATGTAGGTGTATTGTTACCTGATGGTTTACGAAAATAGTTTATTTGGCTAGCCGTCAAACCTACAGTGGAATTATCAAAAGCATAAGTAGATAAAAAAATTATCAAAGTCCTCGTGTGGGATCGAATGGGAATGCTTGCTATTTCCGGAAACTTTTCGAGCTCACACATATTTGAACTTTCGCAAAATATTCGTGAGCAAGAAAAAAATTCTATTCAAGCACTGTGGTATTCGGTAAGAAAATTTCACACCATAGTGACCCTCAACGAAAAAGTGACGTTTTATGTCAAAACATTATTACCTTTTTACATCAAAAAATTGACGATAAATTCCTTGATTGCCATGGAAATGTGACACGAAATCCGCATTTCATTGGTGGACAAAATTGCTAGTTGAAATTTTCGTTGAGATTTGTCACCTAAAGTATGTAAGACACAAGATTATCAATTTTTGTATCAACAGTTTTTTAACAGAGCTGCTAGATTCAAGAAGGTGCCGACAACAAACAATTCGTCATGTTTATCTATAATAGGTACATCGTCCAAATTGTACATAATTTTTATGTAATCGATATTATTAAATTGCTTTTTTGATAAGTAGGTAACAGAATGGCGTGTTGGAATTGGAAAATTTCCGAAAATCTATTAAAACATTTTTTGTAATGAAAAATGAGTCATTTATTTTGTTGTAAATTAGTTCAGAATTCAGATATATAATTTGATAAATGGGGGAAGGTTGAAAACGCAGCAAATACCGGGCTACATTGCGGAAGCCATGCGAAATATCGAAAACTGTTCATCTAATTGAAGAAAAATACCATTCTTACATCCGCGCACCTGTGAAAATCGTTATCATAATATAAGAAATCTATGGGGCCGTAGTTTGATCGGATGTGATAATTGTTTAAATAAATTTGTGCTATGTGACCCACAAAAATTGAACACCAGTTTTTCTTGTTTCGGAAATTGTTCCCTTCATTACCCAAGTCCAAATCTCAAAAAGTCATTATTGTAAATCCCTATATAGGAAGTAAGTAGGAATGATATCTTAGAAAGTAATACATTAGTAATATTTTTATATAGGTATGTAGAGCTTTCAGCTTTGATTTCCTATTCTATATTCAAAGGTTTCCAGTATTAGTAAACAGTAAAACAGGAGAAAGTTAAAATTCCATAAATCAGTTACTTTTGTTGAATAGCCGATAATGAGGGTCTGGAATCTGGTTTTATTGTAGGAAGATGAGGTCATTTGCAGGTAGCTTACTTATGCCTGGTGAAACTTGTCGAATTGCACGATTGGTTGCCTATATAATTATTTGCGTAGGCGCAGCTTAAATTTTGAATGGCCTGTCCCTAGCCGCCTTAAATTGGAGGACTAGTAGTGGTACAGACGGACAAAGTGCAAACAATAGCGTTCATTTCCTTTTGGAAAATATCAAAATACGCTAAAAACCCGGCGACAATTTGTGACAGAGGAATGTACATTCGCAAAGGTTCCGCTTTACTTTGAAAACAAGTGATTCATCCCCAGGTGAAAATGAAAGGTTCATGCTAAGGTTCTTGCTTTAAGAAAGAAATTCCCACAAATCGTATATCTCGAAGAATATAAAGTCTTCGGAAATGAATAAAAACGCAAATTACAGCCGCTTACTCTGTACGTGAAATAAAAATAAACTGTGTACAGACATTAATCCGAACAATTTATGTAATAATTATATAATATACAATGCTGTGACGTTTTCTCTTCTGCCCAAGTTAATAGGGTCTTCCTGAAAAAAATATTGTAACTTTTTTGTGTCTTACTGTAAAGTTTATAACCTGTAATTAAACATCTCATATACAAAACTTTTTTTCCTAATTCCTAATCAATAAACAACATATAATATCGTAAAACTTTCAAATTTTGTCATGCAACCGACGACATGCCGATATTGGCCGAGCGTCGCTTACGTCACTACGCGGGTTGCCGATCGGGAGTTATATTAGTGCATGACACTGATAGGAGTTCGATTCGACTTATTATGGCAATCTGCCATAAACTGAGTTCTGACTGGTTCGTTAAGGGGCAGTTAGTCTCCCAAAGGTTGAAGTGTTAATGGTCGCCGCCTTTTTCTCGAAAAGTGAGTTTTTCCATGCCACTCGTTTGAGTGGAGTCAAAGCCCAGAAGCAAATCTGTTATGGTTCATAGGAAGTATAACAACAAGTTATGTGTGTATAGTGCAAGGTAGTGTAGGTACCTAATACAGTATGCACCTTACGGATTTCAACGAGAAAATTAGGGTGTTGGATATGTGGAAGTGAAAATAGAGAAAAATGTGTGCGCTGTAAGGGCACAGATATGCCCAGAACAGAGTTCGAAGTAAATCATATTCTGAATTACAATTACAAATATATCGATGGATTTTCGTCGATAACTGACTGAAAGTAAATCGACATTATGTACTTTAATTAATTAGAATCGTCTTCACAACAATACAAATGGGATGTCAAACTCGCGGTATCCGTCGAACTTTTTTCGTATATTTCCTGTTGGGACGTTTATATAGATACAATTTATTAGGTTCGCGATGACTTCTGCTATCACACTCAGGTACAAATGCAATAATTATTCGACGCTTTTTTCCGTCAAAACGACGTTTTCTTTCTCTGAATCGATTGTAACCAATGCTACGGCTGAGCGCCAACGCGCGTAGTGACGTCACAGCAACGTGGCGGTCATTCGAAACTTTTCAAACGCCGTTCATTTTAAAATCGTGTTTGCTAATCACAACGATTTCTCTTGACAAAAAAATGTGTACCACTAATTTTTTAATGTGCTTGGAGTTCATTTTCAAGGTTTTTGAAAAAACGCGGAAAACCCCATTACAGCGGTTGCGGTACACATATACTGTACAGGATGCCGCATTGCCGCCATTCAAACTGCACATAAATTTGTTCCGAACTCTACTCAAACCGACGTAATCGCTAAAGATACAGATACTACATTTTTGGAACACACAAAAAAAGTTGTTAACGAGGGAACGCGTGCGATTTCAAATAAGAATATCGTAGCCGTCCAAGTTGTGATACGCGCAAATAAAACAGCACCTAAAAATGATCAAAGTCCTCGTGTGAGATCGAAGGAACTTCAGCGCACTTTTGTGTGGCAGATCAGTACACTATTAGCTACTTATATTTAAAAATAGAAGTGGTAAAGTAAGTTTATAAAATATATTCTCTGTTTTTTTCAAAAAAAGACGTACGACAATCGGCTTGTGGTAGGAAAAATAACAATAAATCTATTAAGCATAGACTATAAAGCTTGTCGTAGGGTGCCGCATTCCCTTTGAAGATTTGACTCCACCACCAGTAAGATCGTCTTTGGGACATTCCCTTTGTTGGTACCTACTTCCAACTCCCCGTTCAGTCGCAATTCGCGTTTGAAGATTTGACTTTACCATCAGTAAGAT